TAAGGCTTTCTGCTCATTGGTCGTCCAATCATAGTTGAGTCATAGTTATCGTCATGAAGCAACGATTACATGACGATTACACTTCTGCACACTTGGTCGTGATATTTCAATTCATTTGGCGTCTAAAAATTCACTTGGAGCAGGTATTTTCTGTTTTTTTTGGTTGATATTTTCGCGAAATATTTACAAAAACCTGCAATTTTTTAAATATAGACTGTGCTGCAACATTTCTAGACGTAATTTTCCAGTAATATCTCTTCTTTTCTTTTCCTGGAATGTGTTTTGTGTATGCACACAGAGACTTAATACAATTTCGTCATATTTTATAGTTAAAACGCTCATATTTATTAAATTTTAATGCAATTATCCACTTTTTAATAATTGCCACAGATTTTATGCAAAAAAATACTAATTTTTATACAATTTTAATGCGAATATTAACTTTTTCACTAATTTTCCCCCATAAAATGTAAACAAACAATGCGTGCACAACGATTAGCAAACGACAGTGCCGTACTTATCCGTTTCTGCATCTTCTACGATTTGCCGATAACGACAAGTGTGCAGATCTCCTTTGAAATGCATGTGCTCGGCTCAAAATTTCAGGGCGAGACGATAACGCAACTATGATTGGACGACAAGTGTGCAGATAGCCTAAGTCTTTATTTTCGGAGCTTCGTGATATCATAGAATTGTCTCTATTATAATTAAGGACGATGATCTTACTAGACTTTCTCGCATTAATTTTTATTAAGATATACGCAAATGCATTCCGATCCAGCTGAAGAAATGAAAGATTACGTACAACAGAAAAGAGTTAGCAAATTTAAACAATTTTCATTTATGCATAACATTCTGTAACCCATTAGCAACAATTTTCATCACTGCAACGTGTCGACATTCAAAACACACGTCGGCAAGTTGCGATGGCGATCCGAAAATTGTTGCTAAGAGTCTCGCGAACCAACTTATTTTGTATATAAAACATCCTGTGAAATATGACGAAAAAATATTAAAAAATATTATAAGTACATTAGGGTGGTAAAAAATAAAGTAAAGTCGGAATTTTAATACTCTCACCCCCTAGGTTTGTCTTTATTGAAAAAATATACACCTATTTTTTCAAATTTGAAATCAAGAAACTAAAAATTGAGCTGCTTCTTTCCTGAGTGCAGAAGCACGAAATACTTATATCTGCAAGGGTACGGATGCAAAGCTTCAGCAAAGAAATTAAGAAAATTACAACATAGATTAATGTTTTATTACATGTTAAATATGAAAATTTGTTTATTTGGTTTAAAATAAATAATTGTATAAAAACTCGATGTTGTTTTATATCCTCTTCTCTGCACATCGATATTCTTCAAAAGTAATTTTTACGCTTGAGAAAAACNGAAGCACGAAATACTTATATCTGCAAGGGTACGGATGCAAAGCTTCAGCAAAGAAATTAAGAAAATTACAACATAGATTAATGTTTTATTACATGTTAAATATGAAAATTTGTTTATTTGGTTTAAAATAAATAATTGTATAAAAACTCGATGTTGTTTTATATCCTCTTCTCTGCACATCGATATTCTTCAAAAGTAATTTTTACGCTTGAGAAAAACGTTGAAATTTATTATCGATCACATCAACTTGCCTTTTTTACTCTTGTATTGAATCCCAAATATAAAAAAAAATCTCCCTTCTCAAAAAATTCCAATGTGGCAAAGCTATGATTAATGCTTACATTTGGAGAAATGTCAAAAATGTGCTTTATAATCAAAAAATAGTAGTAATGAAACCTTCTTTTTTGTATCATGATATAAATCTAAGTGCAAAAATACAAACTTCCGTTTGAAATACGAGATTCTTGGGTGAGGGGGAGCTCGAGGGTAAGAGAAACTATCGTAAAGCTCGTAATATCCGCTAACCAAGAATGATAGAATACAAGATTGCGCCAATCGAGCTGAGAGCAA